CAAACAATAGCTAAAGGCATTTGTTGCAACTAAACCAGTTCTGCAATGGATACTAAATGGACTTACATATTTTAATGTGGAATAACAAAAATGACCAAACTCTGCATAGAAAAATGATTGGATATACTTATGGAAAGACCATGAAAATGAAGTAAATACTCATGCTGTATAAACGTCAACAATTAATTTGGGGCCAATTTCTGTTCCCCTCATTCTTTAACTCAGCTTAACTCCAACTTTGTGTGTTAAATATCCATTTGATTTTCTTAAGATGGCAGAAGAAACCAAGTGTTCTGATTGTTATGGTGCTTTGCACTATTTGTAGGTTGAGTGTTACCTACTTCTTGCATAGCCCTGTTCTGAGATAATATACAAACGAGAACCTAAGTAACTACCATTAGAAAAAAAAATTACAGATTTAAGTTTGTTAGCCACCAAAATACTTATGTTAATAAAAATTGACTGAAGAAATAAAAATTGGCAATATTTTTTTATTGTTCTTAATAACAGCTATTAAAACCAAGGAATTGAGTGTTTGAATTTAATGCAGACTATTAGTACCTTAGCACATCCTGTGTTTCAAGAAATATATTATACCTGATTTTTATGTAATTTAAAACCTGTAATAATTGAGCATGTATATTATATCAGAAATTGTTCTACCACATTTTTATATGCTATTATCAGAGATAAAAGACTATTCTCACTAAAATAATAGTAGTAGTATATATTTGCCCTGTACTAAAGGTCATTTGTAAACTGATGTCCCTCAGCAAATTTTCTTAAGCTTTTCCATTTGCTTATGCCTTTTCAAAATGTACTTATCCTTCGAAATCTGCTTCTGTTACTCTCTGCTTCTTGAAGCTTTCTTGGACCTCTTCCACCCAGTCTCTCCTTCCTCCTTTGAGCAGGAAGCCCATGTTATCTGTGACATCCGGGGATTTATCATACATGGTCCAGCACTATCTTGAGTGGTGCTGGTATGTATTGTTATCTATTTCTTCATGTAGGCATATCCTGATTACCAATTAGATTTTAAGTCTCTGTGAAGAGCAAGTACTATCATGTTCTGTTATGCAACTTACATTAGGAATTCAACTAATGTTCTAGTCTTTCTGTATCTAGCAAGTAGACTTATATATACTTAAAAGGATAGTGACCTGGATATACATTCTAAAAACAAGAAATAATGCTGAACTTTGTTGATCTTATCAATAAAATAAAAATGGAATAAAAATGATACTTTTTTTGGCTTTTTGGGTCACACCCAGCAATGCACAGGGGTTACTCCTGGCTCTGCACTCAGGAATTACTTCTGGCGGTGCTCAGGGGACCATATGGGATGCTGGGAATCAAACCCGGGTCGGCCGTGTGCAAGGCAAATGCCCTACCTGCTATGCTATCACTCCAGCCCCTAAAAATGATATATTCTTGATATAGTAGAACATAATTTTTCTTATTCTGGACTCAAAGCAACCCAAAGCTTTTCTAATTAGCAGCGAGGGCAGTCTCTCCCCCTCCCCTCCGAAAACAAAAACGTTTGTCATCTTTTTTCTCCTTATCATTTCTGCTTTATAGGATCAGTGATTGGCTTTATATCTGAGTTGTAAACATACTTAATGAATAAATTGCATCTTGATTCCCTGGGGCAACAACCAGAAGTCTTTACTGAGCAGTTTTAAAGTGACCTCTTTGGTGTGCTCTGTCATTTCTGTGACTGACTTTCCCCAGGGCCTGGACTAAAGTCAGCAGAGTTTTAGAGATGGAGCCTCTTAGAGAAATGTCCTGGAAAGTGGAACTTTTCTTTTTTGGATTAAAATCGCAGCAACCTAACAAAAAGGTGTAGTTAATCACAGAGATTTACTGTTTCACAGAACCTTTATGACAAAAAAGCCGTTGGTTCCCAGGTACCATGTGAAAAGGTGTCTCTTACCATTACTTATTTCTACAAGTCTACTTTTTTCCTTCTCTCTTGTCAGAGACTAGCTTGGATTACCCTTGCCCTGACTCCACACCCTACCATTTGCCCTATGATGAAGTATGGAGAATAAGAGCTAAACTTGAAATTCAGGAGTCCAAGCACACAGAGAAACCGCCATACCCTAGGACCTGAACTACTATTCTGAGCCAATGGTCTATCACTATATCTATAAAATGTGGTTAAATATTGAATGATATTTCCTTCATTGTATTTATGTGGTGAACTTTTGGATGAAAGGGGACAGGAAGGGACTTTTCTCTGGAAGAGATTAAAGGCAGATTAAAGAGTAGATGTTTGCTATACCTGATATGTACATAGTGGGGTAAGGTCAATCCCTTTCCTATATCTCATGAGTTTCATGGCAAATGCCATAGCAACAAAGGCATGATCAGTCCATATGTCACCGGGGAGGGCATTAATGTGCTCCTAGAAACTAAATGGCTTCCACAAGAGTCACAGCTAAGTGGTTTGTTCTCTTTCTGGTACAACAAAACCTATCTGTCAAAAACGTTTCTGATATTCCACCACCTTCTCAAGTTGATGCATAGGAAAGCAACACTTGTTTGGTTTAGCTTCTCTGAAAAAAAAAACAGAAAGAATGAGGACAAAGAGAAAGTAAGAGAGAAAGAAAGAGAAAGTATATAAGAGAGTTACTGAGATGATTGCATTTGAAATAAAATACTTGTTTTCATTGCAGGATATTTTCCGAGGGTCAGTCTGAAGCTACTGGGTGGGTGTTCCAGGGATGAGAGAGAGAAAGGTATACAAGTGTAACCACTGGCTTCTATTTTCCATGGACTAGCAAGTTCCAGAGCATTATTTCATCAACACAGTTACATTTTTTTGGAGACACAACAGTATTTTCTGGACAGCAGTGAATTTCTGGGAGATACAGCAAGGTGCTGTCAAGGTCATACATGAAAGTAACATTAGGGACAGGAAATAGTCATTGGAGGGGCCACGCTGACCCTAAAGGCCACTTTCCCTCACAACATGACCTTTGTCTTCAAAAGTAGCATAAGATCTTAACATCCGTGGAAAAATAAGAATGCAGTTGGTTCCAAGCAGCTATTGGGTTCAACAGTAGCTATGAGCAGCAAGTCACATGGTCTCCTCTACCTCCTCCTCCATCTCACCCAGAATCAAACTATCCTTTCTTTATGCCCACATTGTTCTTTACACTTGCATACAAATGTTCAATGCAATTATTTATTAGAGTCTTTTCTTTCCTAGAGAGATATTTTTGTAAGATTGGAGTAATATTGATTCACTAATTTAAGAAATTAGTGAGTATCTACGGTATGCTGAGCATTCTGTTAAGTGGTAATGATAGAACAATTGTGTAAATATGTAACTTTTGAGAGCTTATGTTCTCATGTGTGTTTGTGTGTGTGAGTGTGTAAAGTCAGAGGTCAATAAACAAATAGGTAAATAAAATACTCTTATTCCATGACTTAGGATGGGTTGACTTAACAATTTTTCAGCTTTACAATGACGTGAAAGCAATGTGCATTCAGTTAAGACTTCTACCTCAAATTCTGGATTAAGGTATTCTGCAAATGAATGCAGATAGAATCGTGAAGATGACAAAAGAGATCCTAGGCCTCTAAGTCTAAGGACCAGGAAGGATAGGAGTAAAAACAGTGTCATCAAAAGCATTCCTGTGGTAGGAGGAAAACCAGAAGAATGTGGGTTTGGAAAGTAAGAAAAGAAAGCATTTCAAAAAGCAGGATCTAAACAACTTGGCCACCTGCCACTGATAGAAATATACGGTAGGAGATAGGAGCTACTGATAGAGGAACAGAACTATGGCTTTAGCAGCATGGTGTCTCATGAGCGGTTCTGGGCAGCAGCAAGGACTAAATGTCTAAACTGAAATTCAAAAGGTGGGAAATTGGAAGCACATACACTGGCAGTTCCTTAAGCTTTTAAAAGGAAGGAGAGAAGAGGGCAGAAACTGGGACTGGGGTGTGAGGGAGTGTAAAGAAGGATGGGTTCACATGCCTTTTGGAAAGTTCAGTAGAACCTACTGGTAGAACCAGAAAGAAACTGAAAGACGGTGAGAAAAATGAATAAATCATACCCTACAGTCAGGCCCCCACAAGTTGTGATTCTCCAAACAACAAGCAAATGGATTGTGGGTGTGAAGGTGCTAAGGTTCCAGGTGCTAAAGGCAGAAATAATCATCCAAACAAGTGGGACAGTAGGGTTCTTGATTGATTTGCAAAGCCAAGTTGTGGTTTGGTGGAATTTGCTGAGGGGGGAGGGCTGGGTTCACACAGCACTGCAGGTGTTAGTACCTTCACGACCATGAAAAAATAACGGTGGAGGGCCCCGTCCCCCGTACGCATAGGACAGGACCTTGTTCCAAGAGAAGTGGGCCGTGGAACGTGCAGTAGCAGAACCAGGAGAGGCGGGAAGGTCAGAGATGCTAGAAAGACCGGTATGGGTAGAGGCAGATGATTCCTGCCAAAACACCCCAGTTCCTGATTTTCACGCAGCCTCTAGGCTGAACTTGACTCCCTCCTACTGCTTCTCCTTTGCACTTTACGGCCCCCACTTTCCCCCCCTCCCAATGCAGGGCTGGTGCTGAAGATTTGACTCCGGCCTCCCGCTGCCTCCCCAACGTCTGCAGGCACACTGGAAGCAGCCCGAGACCCCTGAAACTCTAGAGGGGCTGGAGTTTGCGTTCTGAGCATGTGCGAACAAGTCAGGGGAGCGGGGGCTCGCTTGGGGGGGATGGGGTGGGATGCGGGCCCCGCTGAGCGGCTCCGAGCGTGGAGCTAGAGCGCTGAGCGCGAGGGGCCGGCACGCCACTGCACAGCACCGCGCTCCGGTGCGCGCGGGGCGCAGCGGTGGCGCCCTCCCCGCCGGGCGTGGGCGAGCCGGCCGCGTGTGTCTCCTTGCTTGACGCGCTCGCCAGCCAATCAGGGCGCCGGGCCGGGCTGCCATGTGACGGGCGGGGCGGCCCCAGTGCCCGACGAGGCCAGAGGGAGGAGAGAACCGGGGCTCGCCGCGAGCCTTCAAGAGCAGCGGCCGCGGCGGAGGCGGAGGCGGCGGCGGCGGCGGCGGCGGCGGCGGCGGCGGCTGCCCGGGCACGGTCCATCCGCGCGCGCATCCCTCGGGCACCCTGAGCAGCGGAGAGCTGGGCGGGCCGCGGGGGCCGCAGGACAGGAGTGGACAAAGCAAGATGGCAGGGATCTTAGCCTGGTTCTGGAACGAGAGGTTCTGGCTCCCGCACAATGTCACCTGGGCGGACCTGAAGAACACGGATGAAGCCACCTTCCCGCAGGCGGAGGACCTCTACCTCGCCTTCCCGCTGGCCTTCTGCATCTTCATGGTGCGGCTCATCTTCGAGAGGTAAGAAGGGTTGTGCACCCGTCCCCTCCCCCTCCACACACGCGCGCACACACGCACACGCGCGCATACACACACACACACACACACACTCGCGCGCACACGCACACTAGCGTGCTCTGTGGCGCACGGCCCCTCGCCCCCAGTCCTCGCCCCCCACCCTTTGTGTGCGGGCAGGGCTGCCCGAGCCCTCGCTGCGGCTGCTATTCTGGGCGGCCGAGAGGGGCTGGTTGGCCGACGGATTTCCTCCCGGGTGCCGGGGAGGGGCCGCCGAGCCTCGGGGAGCCTCCCGCACGCCTCCCGTGCTGGCCGGGTCCCCGCGGCAGGCGCTGGGTGAACAAAGGTGAGCGGGACGTGCAGCCCTCGGCGGGGCTCGCTCCTCTGCACCCGGCGGCCGCGCGCCCTGGCCGGCTCCCCGCTGCCCTGCCCGGCTCGCTTCCACCCACCTGACAGCCCAGCAACGTTCGGGACGGACGCGCGTCCGGGACGGCGGAGGACCTGCGCCCCCTTCCGACCCCGGCACCCCGGCGCGGCGCGCGGATGGTGGGGACTGTGCTGGGGAAGAAGTCGCCGGGGACGCCGTGGCCTCGCGCTGCGCTTGGCTTTAGCATCGGTATTACAAAGTAACAGTCAGGCCCGGGGAAATGGGTGACGGTAGTTCGTGGAGGAGGTCGCGGCGCCCCAGGCCAGTAGCGGTTTCTGGGCGAGAGGAGAGGCGGACTGCACAGGCTGTAAGACGGTGGTATTCAATGCATCGATGCTCCCCAGGAATAAACGAACTTTTTGCTACCAAGGCGCACATGAATTTGGGGGAAAGAATCGTAATAGTGTGTTGGAGAGCTCGGATTTGGTTGGGCAGTTCCGTTGTGACACGCACGAACTTGTATTTCTCTCATTGAGTTCTCTAGTCACTAAACTCGATTAGCCTGCCACGCATTCCGTCTGAGTGCTGCTGAAAACAAAACCAGGGCAACAGCGCACACTGGTTGGTGTCTTTCTCAACTGAGAACCTCTCCTCGTCTCCACCCCCCTCACCCCCATCAGAAAGGCAGAATGTCTCAGGTGCCAGAGTCTAGACCTCATTCCTCCTTACCTTTCCACCTCGCTTGCTCAGTTACTTTGACTGCCCTTTCTGCTGGTCTGATTCCACTATGAAGGATGGCCGAATCTGTCTTTTGTGTGGTTTGTTGCTGGAAATGGCAACAAAGCTTCATGGGAACAAAAAAGTCTCTTTTGTTTAAGAAAGGTGTATTATTCAATGGGCAATATTGTTGCTTGAGAACTAAGTCAGCTGTTCACACGCAGAGACTGACGTGCCCAGAGGAACAGATTTAAAGATCTATTTTAAAATGATTGGAATCTAGCACAGAGACGTCATTGATCCTATCCAGCCTGCGCTCGCAGACTCACTGTGAAAAAGTGGGTGTGTCTGCAGGTTTAGAGTTGTTTCTAGAGCAAATGTTTACTTACAGAAAAGAGGACTCATGGCTACCCTTGCAACCTCTCCAAAGAGAGCCTGTTAGGAACATCAGGCGGCTCTATCTTCACACATGCTAGGGGCTCCCTGCACAGCTGATCAGTGACACCTAATTAATTTGGGCTGGTAAGTTCTGGCTAGACTCACATCTACCTCCCAGTGCCTTTGAAAGAGACACATAGTTTTATGTCTTGAAAGCAAAAGCATGTCAAGCCAATGACCTGTTTGCAGAAAACAGCATTTTCCTGATAGTCTTCTGTGTTGATTCCAGGCTACTCATTAGCTTGGGAAAAAAAATGTATTTATTGGCAATTGGAGACCATGTTTGTACTAAATTCTCTGTCTTAACTTAAAAAAAAAACTAATGGAATAGTTAAAAACTGAAAGTTAATTTTTTTTTATTCCTGAGAATTTTTCTTCCTTAATACAATTCCAGGACTTGATGGCATTGGACACAGTCAGCTCCTTACAACTATGTCTTCATACCGATATGTAGAGAGTTGGTCAGTTTCTTTCAAGTCATTGAACCAAGTAGAAATGATTTAATGCTGTATATAGAAAGTGAAAGTTAATGGTTAATTTTTAGAATAATAATCCAGTCTGGCTCAGGTACCAGTGATTGCTTCTGACTTTTGGAAAAGTGTCTTATTTTTTTCTATAGTAGTGACAGCTTTGTTAGTCACTCAGAGTTTCAGACCCCGAGTCTTTGAAAATCTTAGGGTGTTATATACAGAATGAAAAATTCCTCTTGTTTCTCCTTTTCTCAAATGACACATTCTGGCAGCCAACCTATGATCTTCATCTCAGTAGCATCATTAGTCAAGGGCTTGAATCAATACAGCTGAACCAGCCAATATTATTATTGGTCCAGCTTTCACTTTCAGTACCCTGCTGACATGTTGTGCATTAATCTTTTTCTTTTGTGATGTTCTGTAATATATAGCATAATTTTAAAAAGCTTCTTATGAATCCCTTTGTTAATGAATGCTTTGCAGCAGGAATAATTCCCTCTGGATTCTATTCCTTTTCTGCCCCTTTTTGGGGAGGCATGGAGTTCTCAATTTTTTTCAGAATGGAGAACACATCTACACAATGACTAATTATCCAGGAATTTAATTTCTGCTGATTGAGATCTATTGAGGCTAAAATTGTGAATTTGAATGCCTTTTCAGTCTTAGTGTGTATTTCCTTATAAAGAGAAATATGAAAGGATTAGCTTAATTGGTCTTTGCCCAATTGAGCAATCCTGTCTTTTTGTTTTCACGGCAGTCTTGGAGTACGAACAGTGGGGCTACTGGTGGTCAGAGCAGTGCCAAGAGTTAGTACCATATGGATGCCCAGCATGGCTGGTAGCATAAATCCAGTAACTTTAGACAAAGTCTGTAAATAACCAAAAGGGCTTTTAGCCCACCCTTTATATTATATCTCCACCTAGAGACAGGAAGATAATAATTGATTGACAGAGGAAAATATCTGAAAATTATTTAAAAATTTAAATTTAAAATATTTAATAAAACCTTGTTTTCTAGGATGAAAGTTGTAGTGTTAATCATTTTGCTGTTGGTTTGATAAAAATAAAATATTTAATAATAAAACATTCATTATCTGTTTATGAATATTCTTAAAATAGTGCCTGTTTGGATTCAGTAGGTCATTCTCTGACTTTATAATAATAAATGCTTCTTCCAGGCTCACTTTTTCAAAAATATATATTGTTGTGGTATTCAAAATATGGAGTTTAAATTTTTACTAAATTTCTACTTGTCAATAAAAATCCTTCTTATACTTTATAAAAAGTAGTGTCAATGCATTTTCTCCCTCGTGTGATCAGTGGAGAGATGCATAAAGTATTAATGAGAGTCAGGATGTTCATGTTCTAATCAGATTTGCCCCAACTAGGGACAATCACATAATTTCTGTCTGAAATATATATATATATATTTTTTTTTAATCAATGCCATGAATCAGTTACATCTGTAATCTTTCACTAGTTTCTTTCATCCTCCCAATTCTTTGATTCCTGTAGGTCTTTGTGTATTTTCTTTTTGTCATGAAATGTTGAAACTAGAAAAGGGAATATTTTGGTTTTTGCTCTTCAGTAAGACTTGGTATCACTTATGTGGCTGGATAAGGACTGAGAGCTCTGACTCCCTGATCCTAGACTGTGTGAAGATTATCTTCACTTAGGACAACGACAACTATCTTGATGGATCATATGCTAAAGACTTAGTGTTAGACACAATTAGGAACCACCCTCTCAGGAAAAGTGAAGGAGAGAGAGACAGAAAGTGGAAAGCTGGGATGGACAATGTGAGCCGGTATTCTTGGTGGTTAGAGGAGCTGGAGTGAGTGATTTCTAGGAAGTGGGAATGTCAGTTGAGATTCATTACTGAGGGATATTATAATTATCTTGTGAAGAAAAGACTTGATATCATACACATAATATATACATTTACTGAACATAAATATTAGTTTGCAATACGATGTTGGTATTATATCATTAGATATATTTTAACTGGTACATAGATTGAAGATGTATATCCCTTTGAAACTCCTAAATTGCAATCCTTAATCCTCAAGGTGATGTTATTAGGAGGTGAGACTTTCAGAAGGGGCTTAGATAATGAGGTTGGAGAATTCACAAATAGGATTAGTGATTAGTGCTCACTGTAAAAGGCCCCAGAGAGCTCCCTTGGGGACCTTTCACCCTTATGAGACTCACTGAAAAAGACGATTGACTGTGAGCAAGGAAGAGTGTCCTCACCAGGTGCCAGATGTGCTGGCTTCTTGATGATGAACTCAGAATCCAGCATTTGAGAAATTGATTTGTTTGTTTATAAGCCACCTAGTTTATGGGGTTTTGTTTGTTTGTTTTGGAGCCACACCTGATTGTACTTAGAGCTTTCTCCTGGCTTTGTGCTCAGAAATCACTCCTGGCAAGGTCTGATAGACCATATGTGGAGCTGGGGATCAGACCTAATTTGGTTGCATGCAAGGCAAGCACTCTACCTGCTGAACTATCTCTCTCTCTCTCTCTCTCTCTGTCATTGCACTCGAGTGGCCTAAGCCAGGAATTTTGAGAACAACTTGCATACAAACTCTGCTTTTCTCAATTAGTCTTAAATTTTTAACTCTATACTTGTATCTGTTTCATTTATTTAAAAACAGTGTAATTCAGATGAAAACTATGGCCTCTTGCTTTGCCAGAGACTGGTGTAAGAGAGTTGGGTTCAGACCAGAGGTAGCCTCCTCCAGTTTCCGATTGGATTAGGAAAATTGAATTACAATGGGTGTTTTGTTGGAAAACTGAAATCAAAGGGATGGTATTCTTTGCAGAACCTAAGTGAGGCTATCTTTTCTCAAAAAATAAAGGTTTGCATTTACAGGGTGCAATAGCTTAGCTATTTGTAATAGGTTGATTTATGGATAAAGGCATATCATTACTCTTAATGGACAGTACCTCAGACCGATGGGGAAGGCACTGAGATCTTTCAGTGATCACAGATGATTTTATGTCATCAAGGCC